GTGTTGCAGAAAATGGTCGCCAGTTTGAAGATCTTTTGGACTCCTCTATTCAGTGAAAAATGTATAATAACGCATACATGTTGAAAAAAATTTGAGTGAGTTAACGTAAATAATATTTTTTTTTGTGGTTACAACAATTACTAAAACTTCTGTATTCGTGCAAGTTATTTCACAAAGGAATTCCTTGAAGATCATTCTCCTTTGTTCAGCAGCAGGACATCGCTGAAATCGATCAAGTGGTTTCCGTGCATTATTCCTCATCTCCACACAAATGTGGAAGAGCAAGTCGAAGCAACACAACCTCCCGTTGCACCCAGGCGAGAACTGAGTCCTGAAATCCCAGGGACTCAGGTCTGGGAGGCCAGCCGGCCGCAGCAACGAGAAGGGGTAAATCTAATATACGGGGGCGGAGTCGTGGGACACGCCCCCCGAGGCGCCAGTACCGCCGATTACTTTTACCCCCCGGAGGACAACTCAACTGTAGACGGACGGAGGACCGAATGCTTTTTCAAAAGGCCCACAGATTTTCGAAATTTGTGTTTTCAATCCCATAAGAATACATGTAATATCAATGCATTCTACACTCGAAACAGTGAGCAGCCCTGTCACGTGATTAACACCACCAGTACCCCCCACCACTGTCATCAACATACCGAAGAATGCAGATAAGTTCCATTCTTTGTTCAACAGTCAAGTTAGACGGTCATGTGTGATTCTATGTTGCAGTACATTAACCTAAACTTGATCAAAACATGCATAGAGCATGAATTTATTCGAGCAAAGTACGCAGGCGTATGTTTACCTGCGAGTTTGATTTTACATGAAGTCGCCAAGAAATATGGAATTACAACGAAGCTGTGCGTTGGAACGATGTTGTACTCGAATGGTATTACAATTACACCACATTTTTGGAATGAACATAATGGAATAGTATACGATCCTACTAACTTGATTACCAAACACTATCTTCCACATGAACTTGAAGTTACACTGCAGAAGGGGATATTTATGTGTAAAAGTGATGAAGATAGAAAAATGCTTCAAGTTTATCATAATTTCAAGAAGACCAAGTCCACAGCAAAGTATTTTGAGAAGGCTCCAGAATGTTTACTTGAAATACGAAAAAATATTCATACTGTTGTAGCAAAGATACTCAATAAATAAATTGACTCGTGTTCGATGCTGAATTTTGAGATGTTATCAAAGCATGAATTCTTGGACCGAATAGCGTGACTTAATGTGTTGAACACAGCACAAAATCTTATTTTCTGAAGCCTTTATCGTATGTCAACAAAGTTTATGACGTCACAAGTAGTCTAGTAATATCATTGTAGATGTAACTAGTGATTTCGTTTCCAAGTCTTTCCTCACGTAGCTTCAGTGACAAATCTTATATCACGAATCAAAACAGAGACAAAAGTGGATCATTCATGTTTTGAAAAATTTCGTCAATTACTCCAGTAAAACAGGTCTATTTTCTCCTATAAACTCTGGTGGGGGGAAATTGATTATAAGAACCATTCTAGAGAATTCCGATCACTTTCCCACTAACCATGGAAGCAGTAAGGTTATTTTTCGGTGATCGCGCTACTGAGAAAATCAGACAGTTGAATATTGAAAATGATAAAACGATAAAACAATATCATGCTACATTATGTACAATAACAAAGAACCTGTAACGATTGCTCTGCTATCGACTATGGACTTTGATCCAGTGCAAAGACATTCTAGGCCGAAAACCATCAACTACATTCATACGTTGAAGAAACACCGTAGAAAGGGATATGCAGCCAAACTCATCGAACACATCAAGAAACTTGAAGAATTTACAGCTTTATGTAGTAATAAGGAATCTGAATTGTTATTCGATAAATGTGGTTTTACTTATTATGGTGAAATTATATGTCCAATGTTTAGGTATCCATAATAAACGGTTTTGCTCAGTATGGCGGAGTATATAACAGTTTTTCTTCAACACAGTATGGTGCAGAGTGGCTCAGTTTGGCGCAGTATGCACTGCAAGCACTGCACAGTGTGGTTAAATATGACGCAGTATGCACCGCAAGCACCGCATTTGCATTCAATATATCGCAAAGTATAGATGGAAAATGTATCATGAAGGTTCCCGAACAGACCTCGCATAGAATCATCGAGTCTGATACTTATGGTACCCGTTTTGAGCATGGATATGTTATTGGCAATACTCCTGTGCAATATGAAAACAATGAACTAGGTATTCGAGACAAACATTTCACTCTTACATCGGGATTACTCCAACTATTGATGAAACGTGTTCCTCAACATTATACGTCGGATGATTTGATTGTATACAAAAACATTTTGATGCTTACCAATGCTCACAAACAGCGATATAAATCAGATAGACCGGTGAATGCAAACAGTTCATGGAAGTATCGGAATATCATATCATTGCTGTTCCCTCCTAGGAGAAGGAGGAATATTCAATCACACTATATTCAAAAACATACGACTCATAAGCAACAAATAGAAGGTTCCAGAAAAGAAGATGAAGAGAATCATCGAATAGAAGGTTCCAGAAAAGATGAAATTACTCATAGATCATGTAGAGGACCTCTCATTTTCAATAGATATTGATTTTCCTAGACATATCAATTCGTTACCATGTATAAAGTAGTTGTCAATAAATAGCTGAGACATGTAAAAAAGTCTTTCAAAAGTATTTCCCACCCCAAAACTGGCAGTAGTACTTAAAATTGCACCACTCTCCCCTAACAGGAATTCCTATTCAATCTAACATAAAACTTTCTCTAATGAAAACAATTTGTATTCTGACATGATATGAATTCTCTTGTATTCAAAAGCCAACGCTTTCCTAGTTGGAATTGCAAAACTTGTTCAACCAAATTCTATCTTATCAAATAAAAAATGAAAAATAATTTGCATTCAACCACAAATAAGTCATGTAGATAGATCAATAGATATCAATTCTCAATGTTCCTCGACAGTTTCTGAGTTAAAAATCCTCAATGAATAGTACAAAATTGCTTAAATCTGAAATTGCACCACTCTCCCTTAGCATTAATTCCTATTCAATCTAGCTTGAAAATAATTTACAACACTCGATCAACCGAATAAAACTGTCGGGTAGCACTTTCTCGAATATTCTAACATGTACCGCCGATTACTTTTACCCCCCCGGAGGACATGTCGCCCAACGTAAGAGGCTGGAGCACGAGGACGTGCTCAGGAAGGCCAGAGAGCTTACCCGAATCCGCGAGAGGGAGACAATGGCGGAACAGCAACGGGTTGTGTGTAATCCCGAGCTTATCAAAAACACTCTGGCGCCTAACAGCAACAATTTAGTAAACCAGTACTGGGCGGGTACTGAAGATGTACGGGAGGTACGAAACCTCGAAAACATGCAGAGGGGAGGATTGTCAATCCAGAGAGGGTGCGAGACAGCTGAAGGGGGTGCACAGGAGCTGCAACCCTCAGGAGCTAGCGCACGAGTGCCATTGACAATACCAACCAAACAGCCGGAAGTTGAAATACTGGAAGAAGTCAAACCAGCAGATAGAATGGAAGAACTGTTCACCCGATTGGTGACGGTTCTAGAAAATCGCCAAGAGCCGCAGAGAGATGCGGAAAGCGATTCCCAACTAGGGAAGAATGTGAAAACCCCTTTACCGTCGTTCAGCGGACTGGACAACGAGGATCCAAGGGAGTTTTGTAAGAAAGCTGAGGAACAGCTGAGCGGCTTACACCCTTCAGTATGGGCTACGACAGCCGGACAATGGCTGAAGGGAGCGGCTGCACAATGGTTTACACCCTACAAGAATATGACCCTGGATTGGGCATTTTTCACTAATCGCCTACAGGAGCGATTTAACAACGAACTCTTGGTGAGTTCATTGGAGAGCAATTTATATGGGGTGGACCAAAAATGCGGAGAATCAGTGACTTCGTTCATATTGAATAAGCTTGGGCTAGCCAGGAGGCTATACCCAGAGATGAGTGAACAAAGGATTGTCCAGTTAATATTAAATCGAATGTGTTCGGAGGTGAAGGTTCACCTTCAACTCCACACGTTCACAAGCGTCGAAGAACTGACCCAGAAAGCAGTGGCCGTTGAGTCACTGCTAAGAGGCAGTGTTAATAATAATAGCAATGGCACAATACAGCGAAACTACCACGAGGACAGAGAGCCTCGTCGTAGCAACGGGGGAAGTTACAACAAAGGGGGTCAAAGAGCGGACCCGCCTAAGAATAACCACAACGAGGACAGAGGGCCTCGTCGCGGCAACGATGGACGAAATAGAGGCTGGGACAAAGGAGGTCAAAGAGAGGACTCGTCCCAACAACCTTGATGGCGGCAGGAGCCGATAGGGGCCAGCAAGAGCCCAGAAAACAGGAACGTTGGTGGCAATAGACCAAGTGAGGGCAGGCCAGTACCCTCGTCAGGGTGTTCGGTCTGCAAAGGACCCCACTGGGCCCGAGATTGCCCAAAGCAACGGCAGACGACTGCCAACAGCAACGGAAAGAGATACCAGGCGAATGTCAAGCCTGATGGGAATACCGTCGCGCGGGTGGTCGAAGCGACTAGGCCGCGCGACAGCAGCAAGGAGAAGCAGATACCGTCGGGAAACGCCAGCGGGGGCTGCAAGGAGGCTCCCGAGGGCGGCTCCAAGGCGAAGGGCAGGCAGTGAATACACTGTCTGTCAAGGAGCGAGCACGTCCTGAGGGATGTGCTCCAACGATGGTGGAAGGACCACCCAATGAGGGAAGGCAGGACAAATCGGGGAGATTTGTACCTGGACCGCCGGCGGGCGTTAAACGTGGAAAGATAGTCGGAAAGCAGCTGGGGGCTGGAAAGCTCAAGCTGGGACCGCCGGCGGGCGTTAAACGCGAAAATGTCGAAAAGCAGCTGGGGGCTGGAAAGCTCAAGCTGGAACCGCCGGCAGAACAAGGCCAAGGGACTTAGTTCTGGTGGATCAGGTGGCCAAAACCAGGAGGGGCCAATGGGACCCAGATCTGGCAGGTCAGGTGGCCAAAATTTTGAAAACCTAATAGGACTTAGGTCCGAAGGGTTAGTAGGCCATACCGTCAGGGAAAGCCAGACTGAGCCAAGTGGACTTCGGCAGCCGAAGTGCGTTACAGGCACAACCGGTGTATCCAGGAGTGGTACGAAAGCCGGGGGTGTGACTGGTAGTTGTAGTCAAGGGGAGGGACTCTTGGCTGGTTCACAAGGAAGTGGACCTTTGCGGCGAACGCGCACGGAAGCTGGAAACCGTTACCTAATGAAGCCGATCCTGAAAGGCGGTAGCAACGTAATCGGAGACCTGCACCGAAAATTGCCGAGGATAGATGCAGCAACAATGAGGTTTACCAAACCGAACCTACAGGAGCTGAAGAAGCAAGCGTCGGCGTGCGTCACAGGCACGCTCGGCGTATCCACGAGGGGTACATATGCCGGGGGTGTGACTGGTAGTAGTCAAGAGGACTCAGGTCAGGTCGACAAGGAGGTAGGAGCTGTTAGAGGGACCCTGCGAGAAGGCAGCCCTCAGCAGACTCGAAGGAGTACCCAGAGTGGTACAGAAGCCGAACCAGCAGTCGCGCAAACCCTGAGAGGTCCCTGCCCGGCTGACAGTGAAGAGGCACAGCAGCGAGGTGGCACTAGACTGCGCGGCAGCACTCTAGGCCACCAGGCGGAAGTAGCGGCCAGGCACACCCAGAGAGGTCCCTGCCTCGCCCAGGCTATGGAAGCCCCTAGACAGGCGGAAGCAGAAGCCAGGCATACCCAGAGAGGTGACTGCCTCGCCGGATCTGCGGAAGCAACCAGCAGGACAGTGGGCGCGCTCAGGAACGCGCAACGTGAAGGCGACCCCTGTTCAGAGGCGAAAGGGGAGGCCGAGTATACCCAGAGAGGTCCCTGCTCCGCCGTGAACCCGGAAGCCAACAGCAGACCAAGGAATGACCTACAGGAGACCCTTTTGGCTGGTTCACTGAAAGGTGAATCCTTTAGACGAACGCGCACTGAAGCCGGCTCGAACCTTCTAATGAAGCCGATCCTGTATAGTGAAGGCGCGGTGAACTATATTGGAGATATGTGGTTGCAGCGGAACGACGCAGCGAGGGAGTTGAAGCAGCCCAAGGCACTGGCGCACAGTGGGGGTTCGCCGAGGCTTCTGCGTCGTCTGGAACGAGGACTGTCTACCAGGGTGCTCTTGGCCGGCAACGCACGAGGCCGAAGGTGGTACTGCTTTGGAAGCAAGAGATACCAGCCGGAAGCCGAAGCGGACTGTCCACTGGGGTGCCAGGGAACGGATACCCGAAGCAGTGGGACAGCATACCCAAACGACATGGAGACCTGAATACCTAGGACATGTCATCACCGAAGATGTAGGATGCCTACTATCAGAGGAGCACCTACTGCCTGAGGTGACCCTGGAGCAATTGCCAGAGAAATTGGCAGAAGAGATACCAAGAAGCGGATGGGTGGACCGACTGCCAAGCAGGCACAAGAGGCCCCATCTGGAAGGTATTGAAGATCCGGCACAACGCGCAGTCGTGCCGAAGAACATGAAGAGGAGGAAAGGCTTGCCACCCGAAGAGGTAGCCTGGACTCCAGGAGAACCACCTGGAAAAACAGGAAATGGAATGGGATCGGTATGGAAAAGGACCGAACCAAACACACGAGAACCCATGACAAATGCTGAGAAGCAATTGAGGGAACCATGTAATGTAGAAGATGGAATTCTCTACAGAAGATTATCGGATAAATACCGGCGAATATACTTCTAGGCTATACTCCTCCTAGACCAGGAGACTGGAGTATACCTAGTCGACGAGGACCCCTACCAGAGCAACTCGCGGCTAGAGCTGAGAGACTCGAAAGGGCGAAGCGTAGGCAGGAAGTCTACCAGAGGAAGCTATTCCCAGATAAGGAAAAGGAACCTCCCAGACGGTACCAAGTCGGAGACGAGGTACTCGTCAGAAACTTCGCGGGAGGCAACTTCACACCGACCNGGAATGGGATCGGTATGGAAAAGGACCGAACCAAACACACGAGAACCCATGACAAATGCTGAAGAAGCAATTGAGGGAACCATGCAATGGAGAAGATGGAATTCTCTACAGAAGATGACCGGAGAAATACCGGCGAACATACTCCTAGGTTATACTCCTCCTAGACCAGGAGATTGGAGTATACCTAGCAGACGAGGACCCCTACTAGAGCAACTCGCGGCCAGAGTTGAGAGATTTGAAAAGGTGAAGCGCCTTGACAGGACCGTGAAGGCTAGCCTGCAGCACACCAAGGAGTTGGTGATAGCCGCGAAGGGGCGAACCTGCCATCGGTTTGTCAAGGGCGCGGACACGTCTTCGGCAGAAGATCGTGAACCACCTGGAGGACAAGTAGCAGAGAAAGTCGAGGGGAGAAAACCCCAAGAAACAGACAGGGCGGATTTGCAGGAGGGGCCTGCGAAGAAGTCCGAAGGTCAGCGACGATTCACGGGCGAGCGTCGTGTCGGAGACCGACGAAGATCCCGAGTCATATCGCTCGAACCCGATAGCACGCAACGCGATCAGAGCCAAGCGGCGACGGGGGAAGACCTGCAGAAGGTGTACCCTGCAGCAACGGGGGACGGTGACAGCGATAGTGACGATGAATGCGCCGGACCTAGGGTGATAGTGACCAGAGCCCTGGTACTGAAGTTCTCGATGAAACCGATCTCGGAAGGTAGTAGCGACACGATTGCGAAGCAGCGCCGACACCAGGCAAGGACAGATGCAGCGATTGCTGAACCAAACCCGAAGGAGCCGAAGGAGCGGCAGCCGAAGTGCGTTACAGGCACAACCGGTGTATCCAAGAGCGGTACGAAAGCCGGGGGTGTGACTGGTAGTTGTAGCCAAGGGGAGGGACCCTTGACTGGTTCACAAGGAAGTGGACCTTTGCGGCGAACGCGCACGGAAGCTGGAAACCGCTACCTGATGAAGCCGATCCTGAAAGGTGGCAGCAAGGTAATCGGAGACCTGCATCGAAAATTGCCGAAGATAGATGCAGCGATTACGAGGTTTACCAAACCGAAGCTACAGGAGCTGAAGAAGCGAGAGTTGGCGTGCGTTACAGGCACGCTCGGCGTATCCATAAGGGGTACATATGCTGGGTGTGTGACTGGTAGTAGTCAAGAGGACTCAGGTCAGGTCGACAAGGAGGTAGGAGCTGTTAGAGGGACCCTGCGAGAAGGCAGCTCTCAGCAGACTCGAAGGAGCACCCAGAGTGGTACAGAAGCCGAACCAGCAGTCGCGCAAACCCTGAGAGGTCCCTGCCCGGCTGACAGTGAAGAGGCACAGCAGCGAGGTGGTACTAGACTGCTCGGTAGCACTCTAGGCCACCAGGCGGAAGTAGCGGCCAGGCATACCCAGAGAGGTCCCTGCCTCGCCCAGGCTACGGAAGCCCCTAGACAGGCGGAAGCAGAGGCCAGGCATACCCTGAGAGGTCACTGCCTCGCCGGATCTGCGGAAGCAACCAGTGTTACAGCGGGTGCGCCCAGGAACGTGCAACGTGAAAGCGACCCCTGTTCAGAGGCGAAAGGGGAGGCCGAGTATACCCAGAGAGGTCCCTGCTCCGCCGTGAACCCGGAAGCCAATCAGAGACCAAGGAATGACCTACAGGAGACCCTTTTGGCTGGTTCACTGAAAAGTGAATCCTTTAGACGAACGCGCACTGAAGCCGGCTCGAACCTTCTAATGAAGCCGATCCTGTATAGTGAAGGCGCGGTGAACTATATTGGAGACATTTGGTTGCAGCGGAACGACGCAGCGAGGGAGTTGAAGCAGCCCAAGGCACTGGTGCACAGCGGGGGTTCGCCGAGGCTTCTGCGTCGAACTGCGGGGCCGGACGCTCACGGTGGGAGTCTCGTCTGGAACGAGGACCGTCTACCAGGGTGCTCTTGGCCGGCAACGCACGAGGCCGAAGGCGGTACTGCTTTGGAAGCAAGAGATGCCAGCCGGAAGCCGAAGCGGACTGTCCACTGGGGTGTCAGTAAACGGATACCCGAAGCAGCGGGACAGCCTACCCAAACGACATGGAGACCGGAATATCTAGGACATGTCATCACCGAAGATGTAGGATGCCTACTATCAGAGGAGTACCTACTTCCTGAGGTGACCCTGGAACAATTGCCAGAGAAATTGGCAGAAGAGATACCAAGAAGCGGATGGGTGGATCGACTGCCAAGCAGGCACAAGAGGCCCCATCTGGAAGGTATTGAAGATCCGGCACAACGCGCAGTCGTGCCGAAGAATATGAAGAGGAGGAAAGGCTTGCCACCCGAAGAGGTAGCCTGGACTCCAGGAGAACCACCTGGAAAAACAGGAAATGGAATGGGATCGGTATGGAAAAGGACCGAACCAAACACACGAGAACCCATGACAAATACTGAAGAAGCAATTGAGGGAACCATGCAATGTAGAAGATGGAATTCTCTACAGAAGATGACCGGAGAAACACCGGCGAACATACTTTTAGGCTATACTCCTCCTAGACCAGGAGACTGGAGCATACCCAGCCGACGAGGACCCCTACCAGAGCAACTCGCAGCCAGAGTTGAGAGATTTGAAAAGGTGAAGCGCCTTGACAGGACCGTGAAGGCCAGCCTGCAGCACACCAAGGAGCTGGTGATAGCCGCGAAGGGGCGAACCTGCCACCAGTTTGTCAAGGGCGCGGACACGTCTTCGGCAGAAGATCGTGAACCACCTGGAGGACAAGCAGCAGAGAAACTCGAGGGGAGAAAACCCCAAGAAACAGACAGGGCGGATCTGCAGGAGGGGCCTGCGGAGAAGTCCGAAGGCCAGCGACGATTCACGGGTGAGCGTCGTGTCGGAGACCGACGAAGATCCCGAGCCATATCGCTCGAACCCGATAGCAGGCAACGCGATCAGAGCCAAGCTGCGACGAGGGAAGACCTGCAGAAGGTGTACCCTGCAGCAACGGGGGACGGTGACAGCGATAGTGACGATGAATGCGCTGGACCTAGGGTGATAGTGACCAGAGCCCTGGTACACTAGAACCCTGTGAGCGGAACAAGTACTGTCCTATTGGGGCCATGGTGGCGTGCCAAGACAGGAACCTTTTTTAAAGGAGGGGGGTGTCGTGAAACAAAACTAGTTTGAAATTTCACGAGCTCCAGTATAAGGACCGCCCACTTAGAATGAACAATACGAAAACGCGGAAAAACAAACGTGCCCAGGAAGGCCAGAAGGCCAACCCGAATTCACGAGGGGGAGACAATGGCAGAACGGGTTGTGTGTGATCCCGAATTGTTCAAAAACACTCTGGCGCCTAACATCAACGTTTTTAATGACCAGTACTGGGCGGGTACTGATGACGTACATGAGGTACGAAATCCCGTTCAGGCGGAATTCAGGCAAAGGAGAGGGTGCGGGATAGCTGAAGAGGGTGCATGGGGAATGCAACCCCCACGAGCTGACGCACGAGTGCCATTGCCACAGACAACCGGACAACAAGAAGTTGATAAACCGGCCGATAAAATGGAAGAATTGTTCACCCGATTGGTGACGGTTCTGGAGAGTCGCAGAGAGCCACAGAGAGGTTCGGAAAGCGATTCTCAAATTTTGAAAAAGGTCAAGGTGCCTTTTCCTACCTTTAGCGGACTGGAGAATGAAGACCCCTTTGATTTTTGCAAGAAAGCTGAGGAGCAGCTTTGGGAATTACACCCTTCAGTGTGGGTAGCGACAGCCGGACAGTGGCTGAAAGGCGCAGCAGCGCAATGGTTTACGCCCTATAGGAACATGACCTTGGATTGGGCATTTTTCACAAATCGCTTACAAGAGCGTTTTGATAATGAACTCTTGGTGAGCTCATTAGAGAGTAGCCTATACGGAGTGGACCAGAAAAAAGGCGAATCGATAACGTCCTTTATACTGAATGAATTGGGTCTAGCCAGGAGGCTAGGAGATGGAAGAACGAGGGATCGTTAAATTGAATATGAATAGGATGTGTGCAGAGGTGAAGGTTCACCTCCAACTGCACACATTCACCACCATTGAAGAACTGACCCAGAAGGCAGTGGCTGTGGAGTCACTGCTAAGAGGCAGTGTTAAGGAAAATAGCAGTGGCACAAATCGTCGAAACTACTACGAGGACAGAGAGCCTCGTCGTAGCAACGCGGGAAGCCACGACAAAGGGGGTCAAAGAATGGACCCGCCTAAACCAAACCACAACGAGGACAGAGGGCCTCGTCGTGGCAGCGATGGAAGAAACAGAGGATGGGACAAAGGAGGTCGAAGAGAGGACTCGTCCCAACAACCTCGCCAGCGGCAGGAGCCGATAGGGGCTAGCAAGAGCCCGGAAAACAGGAATGCAGGCGGCAACAGACCAGGCGAGGGCAGGCCAGCACCCTCATCAGGGTGTCTGGTCTGCAAAGGACCTCACTGGGTCCGAGATTGCCCGAAGCAACGGCAGATGACGGCCAACAGTGATGGAAAGCGATACCAGGCGAAGACAAAGCCTGATGGGAATGCAGTCGCGCGGGTGGTCGAAGCGACTAGGCCGCGCGACAGCACCGAGGATCAGCAGAAGCCGTCGGGAAACGCCAGCGGGGGCTGCAAGAGGGCTCCCGAGGGCGGCTCCAAGGCGAAGGGCAGGCAGTGAACACACTGTCTGTCAAGGTGCGAGCACGTCCAGAGGGATGTGCTCCAACGATGGTGTAAGGACCACCCAACGAGGGAAGGCAGGGCAAATCGGGGAGATTTGTACCTGGACCGCCGGCGGGCGTTAAACGCGGAAAGATTGTCGAAAAGCAGCTGGGGGCTGGAGAGCTCAAGCTGGAACCGCCGGCGGGCGTTAAACGCAGAAATGTAGTGTTGGAGCAGGTAGGAGCTGGCAAGCTCAAGCCTGGATCGCCGACGGGCGTTAAACGTGAAAATAGGGAAACCCAGAACAAGGCCAAGGGACTTAGTTCTGGTGGATCAGGTGGCCAAACCCAGGAGAGGTCAATGGGACCCAGATCTGGTAGGTCAGGTGGCCAAGACTTTGAAAACCCAATAGGACTTAGGTCCGAAAGGTTAGTAGGCCACACCGTCAAGGAAAGCCAGACTGAGCCAAGTGGACTCAAGTCTGGTGGACCAGTAAGTCGAGTTGAGGTTGTGGAAGAACAGGACAGGTTGGAGAAACCTGTGCTGGTCATGCAAGGATTCATAGACATAAGGACGGATCAACAAGTGGAAAGGGAGGTACCCGGACCACAAGAAAGCGGCACAGTGGTGCCTGAAGTAGCAGTGTCAGAAGATGAGAAAGCAGCACGAAGACAGAGGCTGGAAAAAATTATTCGTCGTGTCGGAGAGGCGAGTAAGATGTTACGAGGTATGTTCTCGAAAAGGCAACTTGTTGTCTTGGACAGGCTGAAGCCCTGCGAAGGAAACATACCTCAAAGCAGGAAAGGAGCCCTTCCAGAAAGGAAGAACAGCTTTACAGCTGTGCTCCCAACCCGCAAAAATGACAGAGCGATTGTGGAGCGAAACCAAAGAGAGTTGAGAGAACGGGAGCTGATGTGTGCCACAGGCGTTTTCAGTGTACCTAGGATGGGTACTGGAACTGGAAGCGTGACTGGTAGTCGAAGTCGAGTGGACTCAGGTCTGGTCATTCAGCGAGTAGCAGATGTCGGGGGAATCCTGTATGATGGAAACCCTCGGCCAACGATTCAGCCAGGGGCTGACGCTGGGGGAATCCTGTGTGATGGAAACCCTCAGCCAATGACATGCAAAGCCGAACCCAGGCGCGCGCAAACCCTGAGGGGTCCCTGCCCGGCCAGTAAGGGGGACGCACAGCAGCAGCAGGCAGAAGTAGTGGCCAGGCAAACCCAGGGAGGTCCCTGCCTCGCCGAAACTACGGACGCACGCAACCAGGCACAGGCAGAGGTCAAGCAAACCAAAGGTGGTCCCTGCTTTCCCGGAGAAGCCACAGCCGACAACCAGGCGAAAGCAGCGGCCAGGCAAACCAAGGAAGGTCCCTGCCTCGCCCAAACTGTGAAAGCCGGCAGAGAGGTGGAAGGTGAAGCCGAGCAAACCCTGAGAGGTCCCTGCTCCGCCAAGACCCTAGAAGCCAACAGCAGATCAATGACAGACCTAGAGGAGTTCATTTTGACAGACCCACTGGGCAGTGGATATCGGCGAAAGCATGCGGAAGCTACCCTGAAGTTCTCGATGAAACCGATCTCGGAAGGAAGTAGCGACACGATTGCAAAGAAGCGCCGACACCAGGCAAAGACAGATGCAGCGATTGCTGAACCAAACCCGAAGGAGCCGAAGGAGCGGCAGCCGAAGTGCGTTACAGGCACAACCGGTGTATCCAGGAGTGGTACGAAAGCCGGGGGTGTGACTGGTAGTTGTAGTCAAGGGGAGGGACTCTTGGCTGGTTCACAAGGAAGTGGACCTTTGCGGCGAACGCGCACGGAAGCTGGAAACCGCTACCTAATGAAGCCGATCCTGAAAGGCGGAAGCAACGTAATCGGAGACCTGCATCGAAAATTGCCGAGGATAGATGTGAGAATAGGAGATCAGCGGCTCAGAGCACTAGTGGACAGTGGCAGTTCGCTGAATCTTTTACGCCGATCTGCGTTGGCAGACACTCATAGCGTAGAGACTGATCGTGGAACATCCTTTCAACTGGCCTGTGCCGGAGTAGGTTCGTCGAGTACGGGCACGGCTGAGGTCGTGGTACTCATAGAGGGCGTACCCTACGACGTGACGGTGCATGTTGTTGAGGACCTCGTAGAAGATCTACTACTAGGGTGCTCTTGGCTGACAGCGCACGAGGCAATGGTCGACTTCTCGCGGAAGACGATTTATGTTGGCCGGAAGCCTAGGCAAACTATTTTCTGGTCGGAGGCGGGATGCCTACCACCAGAGGAGTACCCAGTTCCTGAGTTGACTCTGGAGCAATTGCCAGAGAAATTGGCAGAAGAGTTTCAAGAATTATTGGAGGAATTTGCAGATGTTTTTTATGAATCGCCACGCCAGCCAATCACAAGAGCCGGAGAGCACCAGATTAGGCTGGGAGACGACACGCCGTTTAAACTGCGCCCGTACAAGGTGAGCGACGGAAAGAAGCTGCTCATTCAAGAGGAAGTGGACAAGATGCTTGCAGCAGGGGTCATCAGTAGGAGCTATTCGCCATACCAGAGTCCGGTGGTGATAGTAACGAAGAAGGATGGCACGGCAAGATTTTGTGTAGACTATCGGCGATTGAACAGCCAGACGATTCCAGAAGCATCAGTGTTGCCTGATATCCATGAGACGATTAAAGAGCTAGGGCAGGCGAAAGTGTTCACCAGCCTAGACTTGAAATCGGGATACTGGCAGGTGCCAATGGAAGAACGGTCAAGGCAATACACAGCATTTGCGACTCCCGAGGGAGGCTGTTACATGTTCAATTCGATGCCGTTCGGATTATGCAATGCACCAGGATCGTTCCAACGTCTGATGACGGAAGTACTAGTAGGATACGTGGACCGGTTCGTGAAAGTGTACTTGGATGATGTTATTATTTATTCGGCGACCGAAGAAGAGAACCTGTACCATGTGCAATTGGTATTGGAAAGGTTCAGGGCACATGGACTATGGTGTAGTCCAGCCAAGTGCCACTTCGCTCAAAGAAGACTGGAATACCTAGGACACGTCATCACAGAGGATGAAAACCGGCCGATGGAGAAACATGTTCTGTCCATCAGAGAGTATCCTAGGCCGAAGAACTTGAAGCAATTAAGAGGATTCGTTGGAGTCGTGGGGTGGCTCAGGGAGTTCATACCCAGGCTCGCAGAGCTGGAAGGGGCTCTGACGGACCTCATGCAGACGAAGCGCTTACTTTTCATTAAATTAACAATTAAGAAATAAGAAAATGAATATTTTGAAATAAAATCTCAAATTATTCATCTTTCCCAACTATCTACTCAGTAGGTTCTGGTAAATGCCTGCCGGCTCTGGATATTGAATTATATCCAACATACATTTATGCAATATACCTCACAGAGGTTTCTCGTTCATCCAGCAGTAGGACCATGCTGAATCTATTCGAGTAGATCACCTACAGACCGGTTTCAAGGTATTAACTCTCATCAGTGCAGGAAAGATACCACCCAAACAGCAAAGTGTCTGGAACTCAATTAATTTCAACGCGGCTCGGATTATATATGAAATTATATATGAAATTTTCAAACATTACATGTACCATGTACAGCATTTTCCTGCTGTAAGAAAAAATCTGCTCATGGCTATCATGTATGTATAACATGTTCAGGGGTATTTCATACCAGTTGTTCGCAGAGAACAACTGGTTTTAAAATAATCTGCAAGAGCTGTAACATCAGTGAAAATAATGACCCAATTTCGGACCCTAATAAGTATGAAATTAGGAAGTATTTTACTAAAATAGATGAACTGAAAAGTGAACTCATAATGAAAAATGCCATATTTGAAAAAATTACCCAAGAACATGAGATGTTTTACGAAGAAGCAATTGATATGAAAAGCGACCTACTAAATATTCAACATCTCCAAAACTAACTTGTTAACCTTCAAATGTGAATTGGACACAATAATTCTTGATTCAACTAATATTGACCAACTAATATCCCCCTGCACAAAATTCTTGGGTCTTCATATTGACAGTAACCTGAGATTCAATGAACATGTTAAAAAACTGTCTAAAAAACTATCCTCTGGGTGCTATGCCATTAGAGTCATCAATAATGAGGTAGGATTTGCAGCAGCAAAATCTGCCTACCATGCATTAATTGAATCGCATATAGGTTATGCAATTGCTCTTTGAGGTGCATGCAATAAAAATTTATTACAGATGATCCAAGTTGTACAAAAAAGAGCCATTAGAGCCCTCTTCAAGATTAAGAGTCGCAAATCATGCAAAGAATACTTTAAAAATCACCAAATCCTCACAGTGATCTCTATTTTTATATTGGAAACATCTTGTTTGATTCATAAGCACCGTGATCTATGTAAAGGAGCGTCATCGTCTTACAATACTCGATCTTCCCAAAACTCGACTCTTATGTTGCCTATACCCAAAAGTCGCCTCGTAAAGGACTCTATTATATATAACGGCTTGAAAATATACAACTACCTTCCAGCAAGAATTAGGGAAATCAAGAATTATAATAGATTCAGAGGTAGTGTGAAGGTTTTACTCTTTGATCATCCCTTCTATAGCTTGGATGAATTTTTTATAGCCAAATTATCTGAATGAACTCATTATCCATATCTGTCATTGCTGAGGCTCAATTATGTGAATATGTATGTATGGATGGGTGTATATATATAT